AATGTTTTCTGACAGTTCTGGCGGCCAGTCTGAAATTCTTTCAGCTAGAAGCATCTGCCGAAAAAATCGAGGCCAGTGACGACAAAAACTGTGGGGAACTCTGCAAAAAAGGCATCTTCGCACGGCATCCCGTGCGTTGGCCAATTATTGTTTGTTTACTAAATTTTCGTGCTACCAGAGTGTACATAAACCGGAACATCCCTATCCGAGTTATTTCTACAGTTATATATATACGTTATATATATGCGTATACTACATAGATATATGTATGTGTAGAAACAGATAAATTTCTAGATACGCATGTTAAATGGTTTTTGTTCCTTTCTTATTATATTTATTCATTGTTTCTTTATGCGTGCCTTCTATCTTTTTTTTCATTTTCACCTACTTACAGTTACTTTTATATTGTCGTAGATTATAGTTTCTGCCATTTTTTTGGATTTTTGAATTCACTTTTTATTAACGAACTGCTGGCGGGCACGACGCAGTGGTGACTAGCTTTGCAGATCGAGGGTCCGACTTTTCCAGTGAGACAAACAATTTCTCTGCGATTCATTCATTCATTTCCACGGTAAATTGGTACTAGCACATAACGGAGATCCGCACCATCTTTCCTAAAAATAAAAAAGCCATCCTAGGAAAGCCGTGAACAACCTTAGTAGCAGCTACTTGCACTGACACATGCCAACATTTATCCCTTCAGCAGAAGTGAATTATGAACGGTTTTATTTTACGAATACATCAGTGTCTTTTAAAAAAATTTTTTATAGTTGTTTCAATTAATTTTTTAGCATTTTAACAAGAAATTCGCGGACGTCGCTGTTTTTTCCCAATGCCATTTCCATCACATTACAGTGACGAACAACATCATTATCTATTTCTTTTTTTTCCACGAAGGAGAACGATCATTACATTTTTTTGTTGGTGTTTGTTGCCCGTACTTTTTACAGCACTGCAATAACAAGTTTTCCGAAACTGCTCCTTTCAGGTAGCGTGTAGAAGATAGAAAGTGTCACCCTTCGCTTGTTTTGATGCGTTCCCGAGATATCCACTGAAGGAAATCCAAAAAAAAAATCTGAATTCGCAAAATTGAGCCATGCGAGTGTAAATTCAAGCCAAGATCGGTGCAAAATTTGTCCATCAAGGCAAAAATTTTGTGGTTGCCAAATAACAGGGTGTAGTTCAGGAATGATGGAACTGGCATAACTGCACTTATTCTCCTTATCAAAATTTTAATCTCTTCAAATCCTTAAAGCACTTATAGTCACAGCTCAAGAAATTTATTGATTTATAAACTGTAACTAATTGTTAATGACCAGTGACGTCCTTGCGTGAATTGCTGGATTGTCAGTGGAATATTTGACAGCTTTTTTTGCAGAACGATTTCTGTATGAATGCACGAAATCGAAGAGCGGAAAAGCACACCGCCACCTCCGTACAGTCCGGAGCGACCACCGCCACCTTATTCGAAGACCAAGCTTGAGAATGCTGCCAAGAATGATAACAAAAATGAAGAAATAAAAGGGGCGAATCGACAATTACCTGCTCCACCTCTCCCATGTACTCCGTTTTCCAGTGGTTCTGTTACCGCTACCGTATATCCGCGCCCCGCTTCACCGCCAACTACTGTTGTTAGCACATCTGAGGGCATTAATCCTGCATCTTCAGGTTTTTTTTTTCTCAAATTCTTAACAAATCATATTCTTATTTTCATTCGAATTCATCAGATGTTTACTGAAATCACGTTGAAACAATAGGGATTTTTTTGCCCACAGAAACTCAGGAAGAGGTATAAGTGCAGTAGACTCAGTGAAGTCTAACATGATTCTCATAAAATAAATTTTAAGTGTAATACCAAGAATACTATCAACCAGGTATCTGTTAACGATTTTACTGGGATAACTGTGCACGCCAGACGAAGCTATGTCAGCCTTTCATTCCTAGGCTGCACATCCCTGGTCAGTATCCATTATCTGTACAGTTTGTGTATGTAGGCCATTTTTTCGAGGGCTGCCCGAATGACTGCTGAATTTTTCGCAAGTACCATTCAGATGTGCTCGTAAAAAACAAATGATAAGTGAGCAGACGAGCATGACCGTCTAACCACTAGTGGTAGTGGTGCCGCATCATGGCTCCTTTCTAGGTAAGGCTTGTAATGGCGTGAAATCGGACTATATAAGGCAGCCTGTCAGTACTGTAAAGTGGTGTCGATCCAACGCGCGGTTGCGGTATTGTGTAGGCGACCTAGACGACTCACGAGGGGCGTGGACCTTGCTACTACCCCGAACTATCGCCAAGGAGCCAACGACCCAACTCGACAAGCTGGAGCGCCTGGGCTGTCAGTCTTGTGCAACCACAAACTACTACGTCAGGATTTCCATCGTGTATTAATTTTCTCCATGCTGTCCTACGCTATTCATTGCCCAGGGGTACCTAAGCAAAAACATAAGTTCTAGAGGTAGCAGTACTATGTACACTTTTTTTTTGTGGAAAACACTAAAAATCATCAGCATTTTTGAATTGCTATGGAAACTGCACTTTTTCTATGAAAAAAGTTTTCATTGAAATAAACACAAATTCAGGATCCCTCTGCGCTTTTCATTCGCATGGAAAAACCGCGAAGTTAATTGTTTTGGTTTAACAGAATGTACTTTTGTAGGCTATAGCTCCTACGCTCATTCTCTTTCTCGCCCCTGAGTATTGCTCGACAAGTAAAACAAAAGAGTGTTCTTGGCACAGAAGGGGGGGGGGGGAAATTTTTGCTAAAATGGTTCAACAAATCATAAAAGCTGTTTCTAGGAACCATTTTTCTAGAAATTATTTT